CGTACGGTATTCCTAAACCGGAGATGAGCTTGGTACCAGTATCTTGGACCCAAACGATCATTTGTACCTCGCCTCACAAGCATCACTTCGCGAGCACCTTCAAAGCGCAAAGATCACATCTATAATTCATACGGTGGCAACGGCTGCATAACAATGTCGTATACTCGGATTTTGCTGGAGGACTATAGGTCTGTCTAAAATGCAAGCGGCTGAGACAACAGCAGTACGCCGATAAGTAGTACTGACGTTTCGATGCCACGTGGCCAAAAGCCGCATGCGGGCTAGACATACTGCGAGATCGTCCGCACCTACGAAGATTCGAACTGGCGATCTGCAGATTACAAGGTAGGCGGCTTATTCCACTCGGCCAGCGGCCAACTAGCCAGACCAGAAATCGAAGCTTGAACAGCGCTGTCGTGTTGTGATTAAGAGTTGGAACGATGCGTCCCAAGCGACAGCAACGGGATTGGGTTAAATCCAGCTTGTGAAATAATCGACAACTTAACAATGTGGTTGTGGACATTGCTTACAATGCGTACGATTGTGCTGGTTGTCATGATCACGTCTTAGAACCTTCAGCTTACTAATATAAACTGATGCGTTCTTAAAACCACTGAACCAGACCATTGTGACGTTTGTGCTATCATTATCTGATACATAAGGCTTACGGAGCGAGCCGAGTCACTACCGAGCAGGAGAACTGAGAGAAGTTCAATGCTGTCATAACAAGTGTTGGTGGGGATAAGATTCGAACCCAATCCCAGAGAAGATAGTCCTTTAGAGTGACCACAAAAGTTCTGCAGAGCCCATCAATAATCTTTTCCATTGGGTTGATCACCATGGAAGATAAGGATACCAAGAGAAGTCAGCCGATCAACCACTACGAGCGGTTGTATGGAGACAAGGAGAACTTGCGACACATCAGTTCAGTGTGACATGAAGATGCAAGGCACACACTGTAGCATGCGGAACCCTGCGTCAGCCTGTTCAACAACACTTAAATACTGTTTGGGTTTGATTCAACAATAATCGAACTGTCCGTTCGTAGCAGTCACCCACCAGCTTGTTACTTTGTAGAACCTTCGGTCCAGAGGGTGCAACTGTAGATAAAGGAATAGGCCAAAAAATTACGTAGTCTGTGCGTAAGCATTAATTTGGAACGGACCAGGAAGATGGCCACATAAGCGACCCAGAATGGCTTAGGACACCGTGGGGGTGGTTGGTTAGAACGTTACACAAGACCACTTACACATAGCACACCAGTGAAACATGCGAAATTGAGTCCACCAAGGAAATCTGTATGGCTTTTCACTCTCTCCTAACCGTAACAAAAGTGATGGAAGTGATGGAAGACATCGCAGAGGAACGAGTCCCCATGAAATCGAACCCAAATAGATAGAAGCAGTAGAGCAAGTGGCAGAAACAAAAAGTTGCTACAACATGCAGCAGCGAGCGCAACTTTAGCTCCAGAAGTGGTAAAGTCTCAACCACCCTTACGGTTCAAACAGCTAACTTAGCCTCACATGTACATCTAGTTAACCCAGTGTATCTCCCACCCATAATCTTGGTTACCACCCTATAAATTTGGAAGCGAACCTCCTCAGCAGCTGTCCATCTCACATTTTCTAGTTAACTGCTTCGCACGGACTATTGTTTTGCTACACCCCGTTCCCTCGTTCCACCACCAGCATCAGAATATGTCCCTCCATTTTATCATCCACCGTTTGAAGTACCAATTCCTAAGGTATGTGTGCCCATGTGCACAAAATCTTCCATATTCTTCATCCACCAATCCACACAATTACATCAGCTGCACTATTGCTTCCTTCGGTTGTGTGATGGTTTTTGATTCATCATCTAATCGATAACAACGATGACCGCCCCCATCAGACAATTGCGCCCACTTAGCCCTCAAGTGAATATTGTTAAACCGTACGAACTTTGAACTCAAATTAGGGGCATAACATCTAATTACCCTAGTCATGCATTGGCTCGCACAAAAATTCCATTTAGTACAGTGGAATACCAACCAGTACAACGAAATTCTGGGGACTCAACATTTTGAAATATGGTTGAATGATGAACTCATAATTCCAGAAAAGCTTTAAAACAAACAAGGGTTTCAGAAATTATTACACTATGGTGAAAATTCGCTAACATGAAATAAGTTAATGCACGAAATACTGATATACAATAATTGCAACAGGTTTCCCGCAATTTTTCGGAATAAAAAATGTCATATCGTGCCGGTACACAATGTTATGAGCTTTAATTTCGAAAGAAGTTATGGTTTTTGTCTGAAATGGTTTCACATTCATCAAGTAAGAAAAATGGAAGGAATCCCTTAAAAAGTTGTTATTCCGTACATTTCGTTAAACTGGCATCCGTTATAACGACATTCTAATGTACACAATTTTCCTGACATTAATCCATCTGGTAATATTATTCGGCGCCTTATGTGAAGCCGCTCACCGTTTCGTTAAACCCATCAGCACAACAAAGTGCTTTTTTATTTTATAATTCCCATACTCTTTCTATTACCACTTCTGTGGTCCGTGACACCGAAAACATGCATCACAATTCAGATCAAAACTGCGAAAACAGGGATCTATGGCCAAACGTTTGTCATCTCCGGGACTATACCATTAGTCAATCTTACAGCACTCCGGTGTGAAGGATCAAATTCTTGCATTCCAAACTATGTGCAAGGATTAGATCTCACCACGGGAACACCTCCTCACTTTATTATTATTATTATTTTTATTAGTTCATGAGACGCTTATTTGTTTGCGGACCTGGGTAATTGAGTTCGCTGAAGGTTACACTACCAACCGAGGTGGTACATTCAAACGTATCCGTAAACGGCTTATCAGAAGAGATTGAGCCGCACAGAAATTCAGGGACAGATGTCTCCACGTAGTTATTCACCTCTGTGGCAGAAATGCTTGCAGCCAGAGAGTAATACAGCGGATGTGAACAAAGTCAGCGCTGAGTTCAGCTTCCCATCCCTAAGTTCCATCCCACCCGCCTTCATGCGAACTAATTTTATTGTCCACGCGAAACCAAAAAACTAAAAGCAAGTGCAGTCCGTGCTATTGGTTTACCACCGGTCTTCATTAACGGGACACTCGACTACATCCATTAACCTTAAAGGAACATTGTCAACTAGGGCGATCCACGATCCATCTGGAAGCCGGTTAGAATACCGTGTGCCAAAAACGCACCCCTCCCTCAGGGTTTTGTCAGATTGTATGTAGGTCGGCGCAGTGAAATAAGATCAGAATATCGCCCTTGCCACGGAATTGCATAACTGCATCCGCTGATGGCGTCCATTAATTCATCCGTACACGCCCAACGATTCTCACCAGATGTCGCATTGCACCTCGTGCGCTCTATAGCATCTACATTGGGTGAAAAAATGCAGATCTGGATGGCTCCTGTTCTTTGATTATCCCATTTGTTCGATGAGAAAGAACTACTTGAATGTGCACAGACTTCTGGTTATCCATTATAATAATCGAAATCACTGCTTCGTTCAACGGTAGAAAGTACTCTACCCAAGGGGATGCGCTTTGGCGCTCCTCTATTTTCACTACATGCTGAAAAGCTCCTTATGCCATCACTATTTAATGGATGTATCCGGGTGATATTGACTTATGATAGATACTATGATCAGGTGGGATAATTATTAGTCCCTGACTAATTGATATTTTTATGTAGTATTTCCGCTTTTTCGTGCTGATAAATTCCGGATCGTTGCCAACATTCCATTATCCATGTTGTGGGCGGAAAATGTCATACACCATCTGATAGATCCCGTCTATTTTGACCCAAATACATCTGTGAAACTTTCATGAAGTTAGAAGCTTATATTTTTGTCCACAAACTCAGGATGCTTTAATTTATGGACTGTATGTGTTCAATCACTTCAGTTATACTGCTCTACCGTCAGTTTTTCTGGTTGTCTTCAAAAAGGCTGCATCTTAAGTATACGACTGACAAAGTATACTGCGAATTGCAGGGGTTTATCCAGCGATTGTCTCGCTGTCAGCAAGTACCCTGATGAATGTGCGAAGTTTTCTTCCTGATTGAGCGTTCGCAATCCTCAGGGATTCAACCAAAACCTTATCGGTTAAATCCCATTGGCTCGCAACTTGTCCTGCCACGATGCTGTCCTATGTACTGGTCGTTCCAAAAGGTCAACAGTGTGTTGCGCGAGCGGTTGTTCGAGTGACACATTTTGCAGTCGGCTATCAATTTTTGAATTTTGCATTTTCGGCTAGTACCATCTTTTATTACATATGCATGTATGAGGGTGCACAAAGCCTATTTCGAATTGGTATGACCCCAGCAGTGCGAAGGTACTCGAAAGGCATTATTAAGCATGACTGAATCACGGGGAATGCTGATCCTCAGCAATCCAAAAATTCCCATTTATTAGAATGAATCAAGGGAGGCAGAATTTGAGTAAAGAATTCTTTTCGGTAATTCTCATCGGACTCAAACATTACATGATGAGGAAAAAGTGCTAAGTGTGCCGGATTGGGCTGCGTATTGAATAGGATGTTTAATTTCACGGGTACAAATCACTAGATCACGAGGTCATGTAATGTTTGAGTCCGATGACAATTACCGAAAAGAAGTCTTTATTCAAATTCTGCCTCCCTTGATTCATTCTATTAAGCATGACTGAACGAAACATTCCGGCTTACAAATTGTAATATTGTGTGACAAGTTGGGGATCGATGATGATGAAGTGCGATGAACGAAGCGTTTATCGACAGTGCGCACAAAATCCCACGTAACATTGCCTACCGGTAATACCAAAATACATATTGTACATAATCGGTTAGGGGATAATCATATTGCGAGCTAAATGAAGTTGAGGCATAAGTATCGGCAGTCAAACGTGGACGGCAGATGATATGGATTCAATCGTGTAAAAGGAAGCCGAATGGAGCACATTTCGATATAAACACAAGGCACTTGAAGACACTCACCAGGATAGCTTTGCAGGTAACGAGGCGCCACGAGAGAAGATCCAAAGTGGATGTGAGCCCATGCTGGATAGAATCGGAGGCAATGAAGTCAGATCCCGAATCTCTCTTCGTATCAAATGTTCGCGCGTGAAGAGCAGCATCAGGTAGAACGGAAACAATAAGAAACGGTAGAGCTGTAGCTGTCAAAATTGGTCCCGCGTACACATGAGCAAGTACCATGATGGCCGGTACCCAGTTGGTCGAGTGGGCACCCGAATGGGCTGCAAATGCTGCCGTCCATGGAATTGATGCGACAGTCGGTTGGTGACCAGTGGCATAAAACGATAGGCTATCGATGAGACAACAGTACACCGCCGTTGTCCATGAAGACGCTAATCGTAGGCGATGACGTATGCTGGTGTCTGTGCGGTAAAGTGGATGATAGATCAGAGATGAAGTGAGGTGGCAAATCCAATTCGCCAAAGCGCAGCCGGATTGATTCTAATGTGGCAAGGAAGAGAGCTAAGAATATCGAAGGCTGTGACAAAATGGCTGGTGGTGTGACCAACGTGTGAAGTTACACGCGTAGATAGTGTTGAACCCAAAAATTATTGATTGTAGCTGGTGATGGACGGACTATCGCACAAACGAAAGTAAGATTCACTACTTATGGCCTAGCGTATCCATCCATCTGGGTTGGACAAACGAAATCCGATCTTTAGGTCCTTGTGTGTAAGCATCCGCTTGGTCAGATAGACGTCAGATATCTGCCTGACTACTGATTTTGCTTTTATTTATACTCGTCAGGTAGAGATGGCAGGACAGCGATTCGAATCCGGGATGTTTATTTGGTAGCCGAAGCATACACCTCCAAGATACGGATTCGCGAGCAATACTTGTCAGTTCTCTGCTACAACCCTGTATATTTATGTGAATTAGGCGGTCAGTTATTGAGAAGCTGCCAGGCATAACTTACTGGAAATGCTAATAGATCGGGTGTGATTGAAGGTATTCTGCGGCTCATCGGTCATCATCGCATCCTGTACTTACCCTCAACCACCGGCACAAGATGGTCACTCGTTATCGGACGAATCACTTGGTTCTATGGTTGTTGGATAAAAAGGATTCTGCATTGTTCTTGCAGCTCAGATGGAAGTAGGAGCGGCGCTCGACTGGCGCTCTGTTCACTGGTACTGTGCCAGCCCTAGTTGTCTGACCAACTAGCTGGGTCGAAAACACAGTTGAACAGGGGAATTTGGATAACTATTCCTTCACGTCAGGAGTGAGCTTGGTGATAGGGTAGACAGTGCTACTCAGTTACCTCGGCGTGATCCAAGTTCTTCTTGCTGCCAAATTCCTAGTGTCAGGCAGTCTTGCAGAGAATCGGGACGATAAAATTCAGTCCGGATGTAAGATGGAACATTTACTGAATTTGGGAATAGCTCAGCGTAATCTACCCATGTTCTCTTTGTGGGATTAAGCGACGTGCGGCTGTTCGCAGTTACAACGGAGAGAAATTACGGAAACCGGTGCAGCCAAATGTCCTCGCAGAAAAAGATCAGAAACAATGTCACATTTGAAGATCACACCGGAACGGTGTTATACTTAGCAGGACAGTGAGGTAACTTAAAGAGTGAGACGCAGGTAGGTAGACAGAAGCGAGGAATTTTCAAATGTTCGCGTCCAAACAAGCACAAAATTCCTGAGCATAGAGAATGAAAACATAGAGAGTGCTCGCGAGTGCACAACTTGATCGACAGGCATCCATCCATCCACATCGTGTGAAAAAACAGTGTGCGAGGTTTCCATATTCAGTGTTGTAGGCCTAAGGCTTGGACACATCCGGGGGAAGTACAACTGTGAACAACAACCGATGCCATAGCATCAACAGTATTTAACTAAACACATTTGTTCACGTAAGCGAAAAGAGAAAAAAGGCTACGACTGACAAAAGCAACGGTTTTTAAGTTTCTCAGCCGAATCGTTATGGGCTGTGGCGAGCCACAGTACAACGGGTGTGCTCATTCAGCAGCAGGGACACTTTGTGACGTCATACGTCATTGGAAAATACCAGTTAGCGTCAGTAAAATTGAAGTTTGACGGGTATTTTTCCATGGTTTTCCAAAAGTCAATCACAGTGCTTGCGCTACACAGTACAAGGTTGTTTTCTGCAACTGACTCCGACGACAAATCACTTCCCAATCGTAAATAAAGACAGTGAAAATGAGTACGTTGCTCAATCAACTGGCAATAGATTAAAAGCACTTGAGGATGGCGCAACCCAGTAGACTATAAAGAAGGGAATCGATCGCACAAGGTCAAAACCCAATTTATTAGCGTTAGATAAAAAGCAACAAAAGGGCTAATTCGGCGTATAACCTACGTAAGACCTCTGAAGAGCAAGATAGACCGAGTTCGGATTAAATAAACGACTATGGTTCAGGCACAGAGTTAATGTTGACGCAGCTATCGTGAGGATATATATATATATATATATATATATATATATATATATTCACACGTTGATTACAAGGTGCCATCAGAACCACGGTGGAAATAAGAAAATGAGAAATCACGAGAAGAAAAGGCAAACAGAATAAGGTTAAAAACCAGCAGAAAGAAGTTTGGCAGAGGGACGGAACGAAGTGCCGCATCAAGAGTGTCGCTGCCTTTTCTACTGGGAAACCGATCCCAGAGCCCCAACCAAACGGGAAAATACACACCAGCCCAAGTTGGTTCCTCAACCAACCCAAGGTGCAAGATTGTTAGAGTATGTGATTCGAGGCAGCTGACGTGCAGGTAGACGAAAAGAAAGATTAGCCGGCGTTCGCTCACAACAAGTATCATAATTAGCACCAAAAAACTGGCTACCGATAGTACCTAGTGAACTTTAGTAGTGATACTCACTAACAATAATTGGTGCTCAAAAGTGATAAACATCTTCGCATCCGCGGCACATGCAAGCGAATACCTGATATAGTTATGGGATTTCCAACTCTAGTCTTTAAGTCAAAATATCTAATCTAAGAGGTAGTGGAGAGCAAGTCCAACTTTGGAGTGTGACAAGGTGGCCCAAGAAGGATCTGAAGGGCGCTTAGCCGCCGGTACTTTTCGGTTAAGATTTCCAACACACTGGACTGTCCTGAATGAGTGGTCATATGGTTTAGACAGCGTGGATCGATAACGGGTTCATGGGGCCCGGAAGCCTGTGAAACACATTGTGATCCAGTTCCAGCGTAATGAGCTGAAGTGAACGGCAGCTAAGTGAAGGAAGAAGCAGGAAGTGATTGACTTGGAGACTGGTGACACAAGGACCTTTCACCCCCATCCCATGAAGGTACGGAGGGGTGACCCATGGAATAAGAGAAAGAAAAAGAGATAAGGGAAAACGCGGAATGTTCGCAGCAGTGAAGTCAACGAACAAAGCTGACCAAAGTGTTCGAAGCGCATGATAGCGGTAGTTCAGGTGATGTAGTATGAAAACCAAATGTGCTTCGAAGAAATCCAGTGATATCTGTAAAGAAACTGAACTACTCCATTAGGATCAGCAGGTGAAAGGTTGCTGAGATGATCACACGGTTATGGAATTGTTCCGAAATTAAAGCGCTAAACTTCAATCCTTCCAGTGTCATAAAATTTTGGTGCGAATACGCGGGCCATGATCTATGGGAATCTGATTTACTGTAAATGCTTCCGTAATGTGCACTCGTAAACAAATGTAAAAGTTAGAATCAGAAAACGGTCACATGGTCGTAGCTCATCAGTGTGAGTATCCCACGGTCGGCCTCAAAGAGCATTAGTAAGCATTAACTGTATAAAAAAACGCTTGACTCACCTAGGTCTGACGAAGCGGACATTGTGATGGTTTTGGAACGGGCCAGAATTAGCAGTAAAACTCCCAGTAGGCTCAGCAAATGAATTTCGTTTAGAAATACCATAAGAGCGAGAACAGGCAGAGCTACGAGCGTTGTTCCAAGCCACGGGCAATAGACAGAGTATAGCGGATCCCTCTGGTTAAAATCCAGAACAACAGGGGTTGATATCAAAGATGTAACAGTCCAACTTGACCCAGTACCGTCGTTCCCAGCCTTCGTATGGCTGATCGGTGCATGATGCTCCACGCGTGGGCACAACGATTCGGCATTCGCCGAGGAGGAAATGTGGATGGGCGACTTGAGTAGAAGTGCCATTGAAAGTGAGATGGAGAGGAGAAGAAGGCGAGACAGATTCACTCGAAACGATTGACTGCAATAACGAAGGTGAGAGATAGGAAGCATAAATAAGTTGCTGAGCACTTAGAGGAACAATGATGGTAAACAAAGAAAAGTTCGCTGATAGGAACTCGATAGTTTGAGCAAAGCCAGTTTTAACATTGCGAAAAAAATCAAAGCAGCCACAAAATAAGAGATTGGGTAAACTAATTACGCGTACTCTTTTAAGACAACGACCGTGAGGCCGTCAGCAGAAGTGGGGAGATGCAATCAAAGCCAGACGGCGTATCACCACGCTGGTGCATTTGGGGATAAACGGTAAACATAGCTTGCAAGAATGCGGTAAAAATGAAGAGAACCGCAAAGTGAACTGATTTGTACCGGTTATTTTTCATGCATTACTGCTCAACAGCATAATAATGGGATCTCAGAGAAGAGAATCGTCACTCCAAAAGACACTTTTGAAAACATCAATCGATTCACTTATGTATACAATTGCTGCCTCTGCGTTTCAGAGTGATAAGCTGATTTGGAAGAACTTTCATGTAGGATTTGCATTCGCTAAATTGCAAGATAGCTTCAACAAGCTAACCAGATACCCACACACATGCGCCAGCCACTTCATGGAAGCGCCACCAACTGCAGTTCAAGACGAACTTGTTGAATAACTTTTAATGTGCGGACAGAAAAGTCATGACGGAAAGGAAAATGTTGTTATGAACGAAAGCGTATAACGGAAGGACAGATTCGACTACCTGACTGACGGTTCTGCATTCCGCAACGAATAGTCGTCCAATGAAGGAAAAGCTATCTAAGATGGTATTATGGTATGGTAAGGGAGGTTATGAGCATCGGCGATAAGCTATTACGTTGTAATGATGAATTCATGATCACCGTCATTATACACATTAGCTAGATGTGGGAAACACCTCAGCTACTGTGCCGCAATACATAAAAGAAAAAAAGGAGAAAAATACGCAACTGGTGCAAGCCAGCTGAGCTAACGGTAACGGGTGGGCATCGTTCCGATAAGCTATCTGCCGGTTACTATGCAGTAGGAAAAAAATAATTTCCTGTGCAAAATTATAAAATGCTAAATAATGAGATCATGGTTGGAGGAGTAAAAAAGGGATGGGGAGGGACAAAGAAACTCACAGCACGAACGCCACTGTAGTCGTCTTCTAGCCATATCAGCAAGTGTATGCAGCCAAAGGTGTTCATCCTCTTTCGGACCCCAACCAGGGAACCGAGACGCTCCAACCGAGGCCAGCTTCGAAGTGAGGGCCCTCATTCCTCTCGACTAAGTCATCGCTTGGCCACCTCTCCTCTTCTTCCATCCACACCCCCGGCGAGCAAACAAAGCACGTCGCGGGAGTCGGTGGGCTGGCGCACTGATGAATTACTGTCGCTCAGCCGCTTACGGTTGCACGCGACCTGGGATAATGTCAGGTCGCACAAACACATGCAAGAGTGGAAGCTCAAACGCTGGAAAATGAGGTTGAATGCGTACCACCTGAACTACTACACCACGGATCCCCTAGGATAGGTGTTAGGTCTCCCTCGTTCTATGCGACTCCGGATGAGATGATCGCGTTTCCTAGGAGCCCCAAATCCAGACAAAGCCAGAAGTCAATGAAGGAGGCGCAAAGGCGTGGAGCAGTAACTGCATAACTGATACAGGTGGTGCGATAATCGGCGCATATTTATGAATTAAACCAGGAATGACTAAGTTTCGGAACGGTCAGGTCAGCTACCGAATACAGTAGTTTAGTTACGCTTCAATGAGATAAATGTATGAATTGCGTGTCCGATTTATATGTTCCTGAAACGATTTGATGCGTCTGCTGGATCCAGTCATTTTCGCATGGAAAATATATGCTTCTCGTCGGGAGTATGTCGATCTGGACAGAACGATAATGCAAGTCCGATTGTTGAGGTTCAACCGTCAATGCGAGCATAGCCAGTTGCTCGTGCCTAGTTCGCCATGCTCACAAGTGGATGCGCAGTTGCAAACTGTTCGATGGTCTCGATAAACCAATGGATGGACCTCAACATATTGATTCGCAGACCGAGTGATATCAAAAAACGACGCACCTCAATGCAATGTGGGCTAACGCACGCCGTAAGATTGGGTGCACGTATTATTGTAATGGTGAAAGCCCAGAGGTTGGAAACGGTAAGCACAACTTCTGTCCGCTCTGTGAGTGCCGAATAGACGAAATGTGAAAAACCTGTCCTTTATGCAACCGTGACAGAACCCTAAGGAATCCGTCGGCGCATTTGCTACTGATGAAAAGAAGGAGTTAGCAAACCCATTTAACTATGATAATCACATAAAAGACAATCGCGTAGAAGATACAGGCGTCCTTGGTATCCACGACAAGAATTTAAAAGAAATACTGCTAAATAAAGGTCAAAAACGAGGCAGAGGATACAAGGACATCTCTGAATCCGCGATTGTATGTCCAACTACTGATGTGGCCAGTCTCAAAATCCACACCTAGTAAAGCAACAAACATGTCACGCACCAACCACCTCAGGGTTTCACCTAAATAGGCACCGAGGCAGCCGCCTTGATGGCATACATAACATGTGACTGAGCCTGCGAAGACAGTTGAGTTCAAGAGAGTTGGGCGTGACGGATCACCAATGGGACCGGAATGTTAGGCTAGCAATGCACAAGTTAACTAGGAGATTGTCAAGTACAGTACACGACCACCGGGATACCTAGTGACCATTGCCCCATGGCGCATAGTGAACCAAATCGAGGCGAACGCGTGGATCGGCCCAAGATGTCAGTAAACAGTCTAAACCAAGAATATAAATGTGAAACGCAAAAAATGACGGTTGGGGGTTCATTCTGAAGCATTGGTCGTGTGAATGGATTGTAACGCGCAGTCGAAAGGTGGACCATGATTTGCGTTGAAATGAACCTTGGTGAATGCTCTCTCACTGGGACCACAAGCGGAGCAGATAGAGGTTGGGCGTTTTTCGCCCGGAGACACTAATATCCATCTGTTGCAAATAGGAACATTGCACCAACTATACTTCGTGGACGCTGACGAAGAGTTTACATCGGTTCTCGGCGGAGACCAGATTCAACTCTATGGTTCTTTTCGTGCAAACGGAGATTGTTTAGCCGGTACATGCAAAGTGGAAATGTGCTAGAAAGCGACAGCACGAAATTCTTAGTTTACGTTGAAAAGTTTTGATGCGCAGCTCATCTGCGTCAGACAATCGGTGCAACAGCGATCGCAAAGAAAGCTGGAAAGATCCTGGGTGTGACACATAACCGGAGATGAGACTCTTAATCAGCAGACAGTTGAAGGTGGTCCTTCTTCAGTGCGCTTCACAGAAATGTATACCCGACTGTGCGTCCTAAGCAATCATCGACATAATCTTCCTTGGTTGATCTAAGACATTTGTTAAGCATCGCCCATGAGTAACTGCAAAACAGACAAGCGATCGGACAGAGAAGGACGTAAATAAGAAAGCTGCGAGATGAATGATAAAGATCGCATATCCGTGATGAGATAAAACAAATTAAAAAATATTTTAAGGCGGTTGCGATAGCACGGTTTCAGTCAAATTTCACAAAACAGAGCATCGGATTTGGGAGCTAGTTCGAAGAGCGAAGGTGTCATCGAAATTCGCAAGAAAAAATAAAATGGGACTATGCTGACAGATATCGTTGACACGCAGCCGGATGACCGTCCTGAGGCAGTGGCTACTTATGACATTATGTCAAGCGAACATGTGAAGCACATAGTTGACCAAAGTAGTTTGGTTTAAGTACGTTTATTCAACTAGGTATCTACCAATAGATGCGGATTTGCTTTTCCTTATACTTCGGCTGACCGCTGATGTACCCAGTTACATATTTTCGATGCTAATCAACGACAAAGAGGATCTCATGGATACGACAAGACCAATAAATTACAACACGTGAAGCAACAGCAACCCTATCCTCGCCCGTTGCCTGATAGGTTGGTGATGTGGTGCCGTCGTTCTGATCAGGCAACTAAAGTGCGGCACAACGAAAGGCAGTAAGGGCATTATATACGACCGCAGCAAATGTTAGGGCACCGGAAACAGATGGTGGATATCAGGCCCGACGCAATTTTCAATGTAGGTAATTTTAAAATAATTTAAGCTACTTAAGTAGTAAATGCGCATCAGTAATCGAACGCAGCCAATTTTGCGACAACATTAAGTGAGCCTGAACAAGGGTTGAGATTGCAAATACATGGTTAGTATTGTGGGGTTATTCCGCACAATAGTTTACAGGATACCAAGTGGGTAACAAACTAGCGTGGAACATGAAATAATTCTTCTAAAGCCGCCAGTAGTAAAAGGTTCGAAGAATATAGCGAGTACGTCAGCGACATCACAAATGATGAATAACGCAAACGTCACTGTTGGGTGATGTTGACCATCCTAAAGAGCATTCCGAGGAAGTAACTTCAAGCTTTGAAAACGAGTAAACGAAATGCAGATACCTGGAAAAACGAAAGTGGCGACGTACAACAACATCCCTGAAGCATGCCCCGGTCTGGCATTGGACGACCAAACGGTTACCATCACATCCAAGATCCAACACGAGCATAGACACACGGCACAAACAGAAAGCAGCGCCTCAATTAGACGGGCGGCAGTGGTCCAAGAGGTGAAATCGATCAGTTTGCGCAGACGTCTTTTGCGCGTGTAAATCGCTGCCCACAGTGCGGTGAAAGCAACTAACAGGCGCCATGGAGCGACTTGGCGAGCCTCCGCGGGAGTCAGCTTACTAACAGGTTTGGCCATCCAAATGTCTGTGATCGGTTGACAATAAGACGTCTTGAAAGATTCTTCACGACACACTTCTGTGTGTAGACAGAGCCGGATGACAACAGAGGCCAAACCGAGGGGAAATAAAGCGGAAGGAATGTAGGAAGTAGAATGTAGAAAGCGTGCACGGATGATGTCGAACAGTAGTAAAGTTTGTATGAGGAAGGCAATGACATAAATTTCATGAACAACAAAGCTGTTGGAGGTGTATGCCAGAGCCAAAAATCCAAGCAGCGATAAAGAGGAAGCTGCACGGCCATCTACGTAAACCAAAACGAGAACAGAACGAAAAAGGAGCACGGTAGTGATAAGCGTGGAGACCGAGGGCAACAGAAGGAATCTGACAGTCCATGGTAAGGTGAAAGATGCGGAGATAGTCAAAATAACTTGTGCGACCAGGAAGCCCATGTTGATTGACGACCGGTGGTGGTTTACAAGACACGTGGTTGCCGAAAGTAGTAGTAAAGCGCCCAAGAACATTAGTTCCATGTCGAACCGTGTCCAATGCCGACGAAATAGGTTTTGTAACCAGAGCAGATGAGAAAGAATCTCTGTGTTGTTCAAGGTGTTGGCGATAGTAAGCAAATCGTGCGAATTTGCCAGCGATTCCACGACCGCCAGTTTGCTCGGTTCTATGGATGAAAATCCGATTTCGTGATGATAAGTAAGCGTGTAATTCATCATCTATGAGAAGAGATGGAAATATGTGCGCATAATGATGATAACTGGTGTATGTGAGGAGATTAGTAAAGTGAAGGAGACGGCGTGGTTATAATTTGACAGCAGATCATATTTACATTCCCAAAGATGTTAACTGATCATACGTATAAAATCGAGAATATACATATTATTATTATTATTATTATTATTATTAATGATTCAGATTGGCTGCTAAAAGCACGAAACCATTCGAACAAGTGGAGATGAATGCATTTGCTGATGACATAAAAATCCTTTACACCATTGATGTTACTAACACGAACCACACCAAGAACGTCAATATATCTGATTTAAAAGCCCTTGTGGTATGGTACGCCAAATGGGATAGGTCGTGCTCAACCGAGAAGTGCAGTGCCCTACTGCTCCGTTGTACAATCACGTCTGACCTCCTGGTTCTGTGTGGGAAAGCAATAACGTGCAACCGTGCAGTGAAGGACTTATGTCTCCACTATTCTGGCTCATCAAACTTTATGGAGCATACGGCAAATGTAATCACTAAAGCTCAAGCATTGAACTACTTTATAGAGCAGTCGAAATGCACGATTCCATAGCCATCCTATACAAGATAAAAACCCGACCGCTTTTAGACTATTATGCCTTGAGCTAGAGTAACACAAGAAAAGGTGATCGCCAAAAACTGGAAAAGCTGCAGAGGTCGTTCACTAAACGTCTGCTGGGAATGTCCTCTCGAATCTCTTACGCACAGCGCTGCAAGGTCTTAATACTAGAGCCGGCATGGCTCAGACAGACGAAACTTAATATATGTCTCTTATTCGATATCATACACAAGTGAACGTTAACGCAAAAATATGGAACAAGTGAGCAAATATCCCAGGTGTAGACATCAGAACAAGAATCAGCACCCAAGCTCGTTTTCGGTGGATCTCGTCAGGCTGGTACATCACAACGGATACGAATAAAATGAGTTAAATCACCGGACGGGAGTAAGGTTCGAAGGGTAAAGTTAAAAGGTCTAGGTCATCTTAATGACGAGTCAAGTGCTTGGTTCACAAACGGTCAATGACATGTCAGTTACATGTTTCTCAGCAGGGGTTACTGTAATATGGGGCCAGAAAAAAGAGAATCTGAACGAATTGTTTTTGTGCACATAGGTCTGAGTTCTGGAGGCGGATGGCGATCGCTTCGGCTGTTGCTAATAAGTGACATCATACCGCTCGTGTGTAGCATCCAGGTACGCGGTAAATTAGCTGGAAACATTGGTACCTAACGATGTGGTGGTTAAAATCAACTAGATGTGCCAACACGGCGCTCGTCACTGGGTTTGTCTGCCGTCAAAGCTGAGAGAATGTAAATCACCTGAAATCTTCCGTAAGGAGATCCGCACCTTGTTAACTGTTGAATAGGCCACCGACCTGCTGAGACAAAATGTCACGGAAATGGCATACGAAAACGGTCTGGCAGATATTTAAGATATGGTATCAATCGCCACCATCCTATCCTCCCGTACTCGACATTTTGTCACCCCGTAACGGTTGACCACAAGAAACCATTCTGGTCTGCGGCATAACAATACAGAAAAGTACCACACTGAGCCTTGCAAAACAAAACACATAAATTAGCTAATAAATTTTGACAAATTTTTTGGCTGCGATCATCTTAACATCTATTTATTAATGAACGAACTGTTTTCTGTATTTCTAACCAATTTCCTTTCCTGTCCGGAGGCATCAACACAACACTACAGAGTGCTTCATGACATACGTCAAATGCAATTCCTAAACACCCCGGCTGACAGTGATGAATCGATCCGGAACCTCTTTTGTTGTGATGACTTGAACAGAAACTGTTTTCAACCATTTATTTATAAAATTCGACCAGATCAACCTCAATCCATATCTCACACGGTCGAGATATAAACATCTATTTTCGATTAGCTTTCTATTCTTTCTATTCGTCTTGTAATATCGAATATTTCTTCCCGTTTCACGAGGGCAACAGCCCAGGAGCAGGCAGCAATTCTCAGTGCTCCGCGATAGCAAATACTGTATTTTGCGAACACAGGCTACTGTCGGATAAACCTGAAGATCCCTTTCAGAATTGCTTCGCATTTCGATAATCCGAGCAGCCACATAGTACAGCGACCCCAGCGCACAATTTGATCGAGAAATCTGTCGGTCTTTCTTGACGGTATTTAAGAAATAGTTGTGACAAGTTCTTATTTATCAGCATAACATTATTACCTTTCCATCTCCTAATATTATATATTCTTCTTTACTCTATTGTTGGCCACGACTGGGTCGTTCTCCTGAGGTGACGGATTTTAGCTTCCAAACTAATAGATGAAACCATGTGAGGCAAGATGCCATAAATTT